AATGAGATGTTACAGGAGGTATATCCTGGGATTTTCCTGACTGTGTGGTAACAAGGTCACAAAGCCCCAGGTTGAAACAGGAAGACAAATAAAGAATAAAGATAATGAAAAAGATAAGGAAATTGAAATTCAATTATCAGAAACTATGCTTGATCAAACGTTTGAGAAAAAACAAGAACATGTGGAGGACAAAGTGGATATTTTTAGTTCAGAGAAATCTGAATTACTACAGAAAGAGGAAAAACAAAAGCAGTTGTATCAAAAAGTACACACAGAAGAATGAGTGTTTCTCAGAATATTACTCTTAAAAATGAAATGTTCATGAAGAAATGGACACCGTTACAAATTCGAGTGGATGAAAAATGGGCAGATCATCAGGTTGTATTACCTGTTGGTTATAGAAAGGTGGTGTTTCAGGTAGCACAAGGTACCAGTAGGTGGTCATACAAAATACAAAAACATTTCTATTCCACTGGACTGCATAGAAATGTAGTTCAATTTTGCCACAAGCTTCATACATGTCAGGTAATAGGAAAACCTCAGGCTGTGATAAAACTAGTACCATTAGTACCTATTCCAAGATTTGAGGAACCTTTTACAAGAGCATTAACTGATTGCTTAGAACCCCTCATGAAAACAAAAGTGGAAATCAGTTTTTGACAACCATAACGGAGATGTCCACTAGATTTTCAGAGGTCATTCCATTGCACAATATCATGGCTTGAAGGATTGCAGAACAGTTACTTTTTTCAAAAAAAATTAGATATGGACTACCCACAGAAATACAGTAAGATCATGGGTCAACTTTTCCATCCAAATTATTCAAGAAAGTTATGGATATCTTAGGATTAAAAGAACTTAAATCAACTGCATACCATCCAGAATAGCAAGGAGCATTAGAACGGTGACATCAAACTTTAAAGGAGTGGGATAAAGGAATTCCATTTGTACTTTTTGCAATTAGGGATGCATCTATTGAATCAACCAAATCCAAATCGATTTGGATCGACACGAGGTAAGAGGATTACTGAAATTAGTTAAAGAAAAATTGATAAGAGTTCAGAGACCACATATTTGCACAGTGTCAAATTCTGGGGAAAGATTAAATTGAGTGAGCTGGCTAGACAGCATTTGAAAGTAGCACAATACATGATGAAACAGGAAGCAGACAAGAAATCAAAAAATTTGTTAGAGATAAAGTGTTAGTATTATTACCAATGGTAGCCGGAAGTTTAAAAGCCACGTTTAGTGGGCCTTATCAAATCAAAAGAAAATTGATGGAGGTGAATTATTTGATAAGAGCACCAGATAGAAGGAAAACCATCATATGATGATGCACAAATGGTATTTTGATAGGGAAGGAAAGCAAAAGGAGAATGTGGTACTGGTTACAACTCAAGAGTTAAGAAACAAATCTAAATAAATTTGGATGATATTCTTCAAAAACTGGGATAAATTGAGTTACCTTCCAGAGGAAAATCAAAATGACCTGAAAGAGTTACTACAATCATATGGAGAGATGTGGGAATAAGCTGGGAAGTACTAATCTAATTAACCATGACGATGATATAGGAAATGCTGTTCCAATTAAGCAATATATCTTTATAGATTAACCCTCTAAAACTGGCACAAGTTCAAACAGATTGATTATATTATCTTTGAGAATGCTTTCAAAGTGAGTTGCAGCGAATGGAGATCCCCAAGTGATGGTGCCAAACCCAGATAGAGCCCAACATTTATGCATTGATTACCATAAAGTCAATGCAGTTACAAAATCTGGCTCATATCCTATTCCATAGCTGGAAGACTGTATTATGAAGGCTGGACAAGCAATTTATATTTTGAAGTTAATCAAAAGGATACTGTTAAGTACCTTTATCAGAGAGCGTGAATGAAATTTCAGCTTTTGGAATGCTGAAAGGACTGTACCAGCTATTTAGCATGAAACATGCATCAGCCACATTTCAAAGATTAACCAACAAAGTCAACGTACACCATACATGAAGTGACATCTGGTGATTTTTTTTAGTTACATGTGGAAGGTACATTTGGAGCATTTATCAGATTGATCGATCAACTTTGGGAGGCAGGCTTGGTGATAAACCTGGCTAAGAGTTCAAAAGCCCACGTCACATTCCTATGTCATATCATTGGATATTGACAGATGTGCCCACAGGATGTGAAAACAAAGGTTATTAGGGAGTTTCCCATACCGAACAGGGAAGCAATATGATTTCTGGAACTGAGGGGTTTTTAAAACAGAAATTCAAATCAAATTTTAGCAGTGCAGTTACTCAACTGACTGACTTGAAGTACAGAAAATTTCAGTGGCAGAGCAATGTCAGAAGGCATTTGAAAGCTTGAAAGCAGTGATAACCACTACCCCAGTGTTAGCCACATCCAATTATGCAGAGCCAAAGTGGCAATCAATGTCAATGCTGGCGCTGTACTCTTGGAAGACAATGACAAGATGGAAAATACCTATTGGGTATTTTTCCTGGAAGTTGAATATTCAGAAATATTCTACAATTGAGAAAGAGACCTTGAACTGGTGTTGGCATTGTAACATTTCAAAATTTATGATGCAAGTCATCATGTGTCTGACACTTGCAAATATTGATAATAACCTCTAATTTTTCCAAACATTTTGAAAAATGCCAAGGAGTTCATTGTTATCGTCATTACAGGTGTTCGGTAGCAGAAAAACAGATTGAAATGGACTATAGCTTTAAATGCTTGCAGGCTTTAAAAAAAAAGCCATCTTTGTATATTGAATTTTTTTTTCAAAAAAAAAATTCAGTGTGTGACAATACTATTAAGAGGTGTATTTTGTCCTTAAGGAAAAGGTGAGGTTGAGAGATGTGTCAAGTCAATAAAGCAAACAGCTTGGAGGGGCCTTGGCATTTTTTTTCTAAAAACATTGGAAGAATAAAAGCAGCATGAATGGGTGGAGTAAGGCTCCCACAGACAAGGATTTTAGTTTAGTTTTCAGTAGTTGTTGGGTTCTATGAAGTTGCCATACATCTCTCCCTTCTACTGCAAAATGCCAGAGTTCTCGCTCTCTGCCAGAATTCTCTCAAATGTTCTTTCCTCCTAAACATCACTAATTTATTTACCCAACTGATGTTTGAGTCAAACTCTAGCTCCATATACAGCTTTGTTAAAACAAAGTGATAACACAGGCTAGAGATAGTAGGAACTGCAGATGCTGGAAAATCTGAGATAACAAGGTGTAGAGCTGGAAGAACACAGCAGGCCAAGCAGCAGCATAGGAGCAGGAAGGCTGACGTTTCCGGCGATGAAGGGTCTAGGTCCGAAACGTCAGCCTTCCTGCTCCTATGCTGCTGCCTGGCCTGCTGTGTTCGTCCAGCTCTACACCTTGTTATCTCTGACAACACAGGCTGCTTGGTTAAAATGGAGGAGTGGAAAATGGCTGCACCCGAGTGCAGGGGAAGCTTGACCGAGTCTGGTCAATGTCATCACTACTGTATTCAACACAGGGACCTCTGTACTAAATTTGATGGATCTACTGTTGTCAAACCAAAAAGGTTCTGACTTTAGGTTCTCAATTTAAGGAAATTTAGCAAAGGGACAAGCATTCAGGACAGACAGCTCAGTACAGACCAATACTACACAGGTAATTTAAAAAAAAGTTGGCCCACAGTACTACAGGGTCATGCCTGGTCCATTAAGAGGAAATTAAAGCAGTGGTTAATCTTAAATAATGCAGAAATGTCAGCCATACCTATGGATTATGGATACTCAGACAAGGGAGAACTTGAGAAATTCATGACCGAAGTATGTACACACTGCCAGTCAAGGATTTAACATGACTATAACACTAATGTGGAATGTGTTATACATGTCAATTGTTTTGGAAATCCTAGTTTATACCAATCCTGGAGTCAACACCCATTTAGGAATGGGGTTGAGATTTTTGGGGTAATTAGTATTATCTAAGGTATCAATATAGCACCAATACAGTAGAGATGTGGTGTAGAAGCCTCTTCTGTAAGCTATGTTCATTTGATTTGTAAAAGGGAAAAGATGTGGATTTACTGGAGGGTATATTAGCAACAAGTTAGCCAACACTCATCACATCCACAGGGGATGGGAAAATAGTGTAGTACCACATAGCAGTTGATGGTACAGGACGCCTATCAATCATTCCCCATTTATAACCATGCAGCATACTTGCAACTCAGCTCAGGGCTGAAGTACTGCAAGTTAAAAAGGAGGTACAGATCACTAGCAACAGGTCTGAACTTAGTAGACAACATTGAACATCTAGACTCTCCCAGCTGGTGGGGAGAACTGTGAAATTGGGGCATATACAGATACAGCCACAGATTCAAATGCTCTCCTAGGCCCTGATTACGAAATTACCAATAGTTGCGCATCAAGACATGCCCAGGTTATTACATTAGGTACTCATGAGTGGGGATTCAGGAATGAGGTCAACAGGGCATTTGATTAAGGGCCTCAGTTTTATAACTGGATATCTAACCACTATTAATGGTTGGCCGAACATAAAGGAAAAGGATAACACCACAGTGCTGGCCATAAAAACTCAAAAGAGCTGCAGTTGCTGTAAATCAGGAACAAAAAACAGAGGTTGCTGGAAGCTCAGCAGGTATGGCAGCATCTGTGAAGAAAAAAAAAAGTCAGAGTTAACGTTTCACGTCTGGTGGCCCCTTCCTTACAACCTTGGTAAATGAATTTATATAAACCGTATGAAGAAATTTGATTTGTGACTAAAAGAACCTCAAAAGCGACGTGCATTCTCAAGAGAATTTCTGCAAGGACACTACAGATACAAGTGTAGTACACAAAATGGATATTGTTATCCAAGATATACAGTACATCTATATTTCACTGATCTTCCATGTGGCTTAAAACTTCCCCTCATTCTTTGCTTAAGATTCCACCAGTAAAAAGGTTGTCACACAAGTTGTCAGGGCAAGCAGAGTAAAGATCTTAAAAATAAGGCAGAGAGAAAGTATCTTTGCTCATCATTTATTAAATCATTAGGGTATTTGCCCAATGTTGTTAAAGTGTACTTCACACAATATTTATTGCTACAAGAGTGCAGTTACCATGGCTTTGTGACATTGCATAATGTCAATTTCAAAATTTCAAAGTGTGCGCAATAACAGGCTAGCTTGTAGAACAAATGCTCTGCTGTGAAGGCAGTGATCTTCAAAAGCTAGCCAACTCTTCCCGGATCAACAAGTGCCAAAAGTTTAAAATGAAACAAAGTTTATACAACACAAACATCTGCGGGTATTTTAACATATTCAAAACACATTAGCTTTGTACAGAGCACCGTTGCTCATTTCCTTCTCAAAAATGATTATCCTTACTTTGCACACTGCCATAAACATCCAGATTATTTTGTATCATACCTGGCATTCCATGCAATTCTTGGTACATATAGCACTAAAAACTTCTGAACTCTTTCATAAGTTTAAGTCCAGCATATTCATAAACTGAAGTGTCAGACAAAATAACCCATAGTTATGCACATGCTACAACCAAGAATTTATATAAACAATTGTGCCTCGAGGTGAGTGTCATAAAAAAGTACTTAACAGTTGAACTCCCATTAACATTACACCTTTAGTGTGAATGCATTAAACTTGAAAATATGGAAGTCCATTCAGAATATTTACACCATCCAAAGAGGCACACGTCTGATGGATTACCAATTGATATATATTTACACTGATTTTTATACTGGCATCATTTATTCAGATTCTAGGAGACCAACATCATTGAGCAGTTTCAATATTTACGTTGCTAAATTCAGCTCCCCTGCCCTGCTGGCAGTACTGTACTCATGAATAAACTGTATTCAAGTTTTAAAAAAAAGCCATATTTCACAGTATTTGCTGGGAGCCAGCTGACCCATACCAGCCTCCAGGAGTCTGAATTAAGCTACCAATATAAATTACAGTTACAGATAAATACAGATTAAACGAAGCCATCCTTTTCACCCATGCAAACATGAAAGTTAACGGAAAAGCAATTCCAAACATTAAAGATTGAAGACAGCAGTTGGAAAGCACTTGAAAATAAGTCACTGTTTACAATTGTAAAAATTACAAGGATATATCAATACAAACAATTTAAGCAAAGATGAAGTGAACAGATGCAGCTAACAGTACTTAAGTTACTCAATTCCAAGTGCATATAAGTGGCATGGATAATCTGCTCATGCCAACTCATGTTTGTTACTATTCATTGCACCCTCCTTTAATGATTTTGTAATACTTCAAAAAGGAGTTGTCTAAATTTAAGGTGAATTAAAAACACGTCTTAACCTTCAGCATCATCATGGAGCTCAGAGTCTGCATGGGCGAGAAACATTTCAAACACAGATACAAGGATGCTTTTTCATGGCAACAGAAAGGACTGGTGGCAATCCTGAGCATATGCAGCAACAGATGCAACATGGAAGCTTTGTTCTTCAAAATAAATTAAGCTTTCCGTGCACGATTTGTGCAAACTAGCCAGTTACAGACAAGCAATTACTCCCACACCTGTTAAACACACAGCTAACCCAAAATAAACACATTCATCTCCTTTTTCACTGTATAAGGACCACAAAAATCAATACAAAACCTTAATTGACAGGATACTAGAAGCAGCATTTTACAACTAGCTTGCCAGTTGCTCCTTTGGGTGTATTTAAACAAAAATGAATACCCACTAGTTCACAAGTAACACCTGCAGTGCCAATTCTTAGTGTATTTACAGAGAATCCAAAAACTCAATCTTCTCAGCATTGTCTAGAGTTTCTGAAATGCAAAAAGAGAAGTAAAAATTAGACACATGATCCAGGCACAGTGATGCAAATGTTTTCATCAGCTATTAACTTAGATACACAACTCTTCATAATTTTACACAAACTAAGTGTTTACAAAAAGGCCTGGCTGTACCATCCTTACACCTAACTGGTTAGAGATGAAAACACTGAAGTTCATCTCATAACTCACTTTCATCAATAAGCAAACACATGAAAATATCTTTGAATGATGTGGACTAAAGCCAATTCTAAAGACAAACTAGGTGGGGAATGTTGTAATGGATAAAGTGTTTGACTTTGTTGCGATTCCAGCAAAAAAATTATTTCAGGGTAAAAATCTGCACAAGTCTAACTACAATTGATTTGGTCTCTGTTGCAGTCCTGGCAAGTTGGTTGCTCAGTTTCATTTTCCAAATGGAGATCAACATGGTGTTCATAGTTTTAAAGACTTGCTATACCTTGTTTCTACTGTACTGGAGAACGCTTTCACCTCATTAAAACTACCCTACTGCTGAAAAGTGAAATGACTTAGATGTTCATCTGGATATTACACACTTTTTTAATTCACTCATGGGATGTGAGCCAGCATTTATGGCCCATCCCTAGCTGCCCACGAGGTAGTATTGAACTGCCTTTTTGAACAGCTGCAGTCCACATGCTGCAAGTAGGTCCACAATGCCATTAGAGCAAATCGTAGGATTTGCCCCAGTGACACTGAAGGAAAAAACAGTACATTGTCAAGTCAGGATGGTGAGTGGCTTGGAGGGGAACTTGCAGGTGGTGGTGTTCCCATGCACCTGCTCCTCCTCCTGTCCTTCTCAAATGGAAGTAGTCACAGTTTTGGAAGGTGCTGTCTAAGGTGCTTTGAATTTTTGCAATGCATCGTTTATATGGCATACACTGCTAGTACTGAACAGTGGTGGAGAAAATGAATGCAGCGACAATCAAGGGTACTGCATTGTCTCTAGAAAGTGTCAAACTTCCCAGTGCAATTGGAGCTGCACTCATCCAGGCAAGTGGAGAATATTCTAACACACTTGTAGTGAAGGTGCTTTATACATGGTGAACAAGCTTTCAGAAATCAGAAGGGGGTTACTCGTTGGAGGATTCTTAGTCTCCAATCTGTTCTTATCACCACTAAGTATAGAGTTGCGAGAGTTCAAGATTCACAGGGCTGCTCTCTTGTTAGAGGGGACAAATGTGGCAAGTAAATACCTAAAGGTCACATCTTAGACAAGGGCAAGGTAAAGGAGGCAGGACCTTCTTGGTTGGCTCAGTTGACTGGATGGCTGGTTTGTAATGCAGTGTAACACCAACTGTGCAGGTTCAGTTCCTATGCTAGCTGAGGTTGCCATGAGATTGGTATTCATACATACTGGTCCAATTGAGTTTATGGTCAATGGTAACCTCCAAGATGCCGATAGTGGATAATCTCATTGAATGTCAAGGGGCAGTAATTAGATAGTCTTTTACTGAAGATGGCCATTGCCTGGCATGTGTTATGCGAATGTTGCTTACCATAATCTTGTTGCATGTGAACATGGACTTCATTATTGGAGTTGTGAATGGTATTGAACATTGCACAAGCCCTGGTGAACATCCCCACTTCTGACCCTATGAAGGAGGACCGTCTTTGAAGTAGCTGAAGATGGTTAGTTCTAAGACACTACCTCAAGGAACGCCAGATATTTACTGGAGCTGAGATTACCAACTTCCAATCCCCACAACTATCTTCTTTTCCACCAGATGTGACTAACCAGAGTTTTTGTTGATTCCCATTGACTTCAATTTTTTTTTTTTTTTTTTTTAAAATTTAAAGGGTTCCTTGATATCACCTTGTCAAATGCAGCCTTGATGTCAAGAGATTTTGACCAGATATGCAGGACTGCAGAGCTTAGATTTAACTTGGTTGTGGAACCACTCAGCTGTCTATCACTTGCTAAATGCTGTTTTTTGTAGCTTCACCAGATTGACACCTCCTCATTTTTAGGTATGCCTTGTGCTGTTGCATTTTTGCACCCCACTGAAAAATCAAACCAACTTTCTGGTGAGTAGGACATGTTTCTGAAGTTCTGAGCTTCTCACTAATACCTGAAGCCAACGTGAGCCCTTCAGTTGGTAAAATATTAGCTATTCTTTTCATAGTGATTAATGCAAAAAACTGTCTTGATACACAAAAAGGGTTTCAGAAAGATTCAATTATTCAAGCTTATATTGCCTTCCAACATTCTGATACAGAACCTGCACTCCATCAGTCTAGACATTCTACAGGGTGGTTTAAGTGCAGCAGCATCAGTCTGCTCAATAGAACTAGGGGAGTTGCACTGCAACAAAAACAGGCATTATATCCTGAAATTTCTATCCAATGCATGATACACGAGTCCTTCAACCTGAAACAGAAATTTACTAGTAATGCACAGCACTGATGAATAATCATCCAAAATTAACTTCAGTTAAATTGTACTGCTTATCATTCAAGGTCCTTGCATGACACAAAGTCAATGCACTTTAAGTTATTTCAAATAGCAACATGTTCATTTACATTGTGGAAAGCAGTTCAGATCTTTAAGGCATCACATCTTTTGTCAAACTCTAAACACAAGCAAGGAACAAGAGCAAGAAAAAGGATGCTGCAAAAAGATTAAAACCCTGTCATTCAACGGAAAGAAATGGGACTTCGTGGACTCTTTTTCATACTAGATGCTAAGTATTTTTGAGCAATTTGAAATGTGTGCACCCCACAAAAGAACATGAAATAAGCTAAGAACTGAGACTATTCCATAATGAATCTCGGCAGTTCTTTTGTGTGCAAATAATTTTGTAAATCAGGCAAAGTTCCATTCTCTAAGATTTTTGAGAAGATTTGTAGCTCGGCTTATGTATGTTGTGGTTGGTTGGCTTGCCGACTGGAAAACCACTAGTCTGATTGGGGCAACACCAAGATCCTGGGACAGGCAAGCAGGGACAAGCACAGTAATTCCTAGAGAAGGCCATCAACAAACACAGAGCTAGACCCTATTTATACACTCCACTGTGAAGGAAAACTGGAAGTGAGGTAACCCAGCTCAACGGACACGAGTTTAAACAACAGGCAAGAAAACAAAACAGCACTTCATCGGAGGCTGTACTGATGAGGTTACCCAGCAGAGTAATGAAACTTCTGTGGAACGACGAACAAACTCAGCAAAAGCCAGCCAACCACAACATTCATAAATCAAAGCTACAAATCTTCTCAAAAACCTTAGAGAATGGGACTTTGCCTAATGATTTACAAAATTATTTGCACGCTTTGGGAAAAGAACAGTCGAGATTCATTATGGAGTAGTCTCAGTTCTTAGATCATTTCATGTTCTTTTGTGGGGTGCACACTCGTTTCAAATTGCTCAAAAATACTTAGCACCTAATATCAAAGTGTGTTAGGTCAGCATTCAATAAAATAGGTGTCAGACTTTATTCATTGAACTAAAGTTTAATACACTATGTTCAATCCAAGAACGTACCCAAGGACTGTCCTTCGTACCCCAAGAAAACACTAATTTATTCTAATGCTATACCTTATTAAACCCTGCTACCGCCACTATTTCTTGGCATTGAAGAGGTTCTTCTCCCTCCTCCACGGCCCCTTCCTCCACGGAAGCCTCCACGAAAACCACGACCACGAAGAAATTTAGCTGAGATCCCGAAAGTCTCTGTATTAAGTTTTCTTTCTTCAGCCCACGTACGCCTATAAATGGAGTGGTCAAAAAAGTAAAGCAATGGATAATTTTGGAGAAGCTTCAATATTTAAATGTAGTCTGATATTTGTGGTAAAGAAAGCAAATTCAGTAGTTATAAAACATATTTGTAATGCCATAAACAGCCTCCTCCATGCCTGAATAGACAATATTCTCCAATCAGTGCTCATTTAAACGGAAGTCTACAGTCAGATTCAACAAACTTGGGTCAAAACAAAATCAGCTCCAGTAGATATATGGAGATTAGCTACCACTTAATACTTTGTTCAGGTTCAAATTTGAATTTAAAATTTAATAACCTGCATTACTGAAGAGCAGCTATACAAAGTACTGAGAGAACAACCTTGGTTAATTACCAAGAGCAAACAAAAATATAGCAGTCACATCTACGTTCCAGATTTTTTATTCTTCTGTTCAGTAAGCATTGTCTTATGACAATGCTTAAAGTTAAATACATGTGCTAATTTATAGGACTTTAAATTTTCAGTCACAGCACAAGTACACTGATATACAGCCAGCATTCCAACTAATGTACATCCAGAATATTTAATGCTTTCACTTAAGGATTAGAAACTGTACAAATCCAAAGTTATAGGTCAAGTCACAAAGCAAAGTATGGACTCTCCAACTGTTCTTTTAATTTCGTAAAAAAGCACTGTTGCTTTTACGTTTAAGAAAACAAGGTAAGTTTACTTCAAATGGCTTTCCAATTCCTTAAAGTGGACAACTTATTCACTTATAGGAACTCACTCATTACAGTATTTTGGGAATGGTTTCCACAGACAATTGATACAGCACTCCAGTCACAGGTTGTGTACAATTTGCTTTGATCAAATATTTAATACACCCTTTCCACCTAGAGACCGCCACTGCATTATAGTGCAAGCCACCACAAAATTGTCCCACTTTAAAAGCAAGTTACAACACCTCAATCTGCAATCCACCGCATTAGTGCGTCACATCTGAAGAATGATTCAGACAGAGGCAGAGGCAGAGGCAATGGTTACGCTTTTATTTATTTAATTCAACTAAAGACAAACCAGAAGAGAGGGAAACATGAAAAAGGGCACTTGACTGCAAGCTTAGGAGTTACTTCGGAGAACAAAATCACATCCTTTAACAAAAACTCTATTACAACCAACTTTCAAGTTTGGTGGTTAAAGTATTCTTAATGCCCACATAGGTAGTTGTAAAACCAAAGAAAAGCTCTTGCAAACTAGTTCAGAGAAGCATCAGCAAGTTAAAATAGTCAGGCATATCGCAAATACCAAGGCTACCAGATATGATTTACATCATAGAAGGTAAATTGAAAAACTGCACAACCCTCACCTTGTCTTTGGCTCTGTTGAAATATTATCAAAGAATGATTTTGTTTTGTCATAGTAACAGTTAGGTCCAAGAGGTGGCTCTTCTTTATTTCCTTCAGTACTTGGTGACTCAACATTCGAGTCTCCTTTTTCTTCTTGATCACCAAGATCTCCTTTATGGACTTGGTCATCTAAAATTTGAGATACTGCATTAGATATTATTAAAGGCACAAAATAAGCAAAGAGATATATTTGACTATATACACCTTTTGAAGCCCATGCAACATATGCCAGTTTATACAAATTTCTGTATTACTATTGGTTTAAGTTATGTACTCAGAGGTTGGTAAAATCTTTTGTGTTGACTCCATGGTGGATAAGTATCAAAGGAGAACTGTGAACAGATGATTTTTGAAAAAAGGAAACAATTGAAACATGGATTTAAACTTTACTTCAGTCTCCATTTTGTGCTCTTATCCAGGGCACACAGCGCACGTACCAAGGCAGCTTTGAGACAAAAAAAAGTCTCAGCCAGTTGGTTTTAATCAGCAAAACTTGTACATTAAAACCCGTGTAACAAATCACAAACAGATTTAAAATTGTGCTGGTTAAGTATGAAAAGATTTTAATGTGCAAATATTCAAAAGACTACTTCACTGCATAATGATAGTTTTCCAATGCATGATGATATCCATCTCCCCCTCATCACAACTTTAGTTACTGGTGTTTCTAAAATTAGACTGCTCATCAACATCCAGTAGCAAACAGAAATTTTCCACTTAGATGGTGGGAAAACTGAAGCCATCATTTGAATTTTGCTCCAAACTATCTACTTGGCCCTTTTACCTGGCAATGAGACACTAAACCAGTGTCACATTAGTATGGTATTTGACAGAGATGATCTTCTGACAATCACTCCATTAAAAACTACTTGAAGTTATCTCTAAAACATGACCCAATAACTTTCCGGTCTCAGGACACTTGTAGGCTATGCCATTCCACCACTCTTCACAGCTCTCCCAAATTCTAACCCCCCCATTTAAAACTTTGCCAACAAATTTCAAATTCACACAGGGTTCTGTACATCTGTACTCCTTGATTTACAATGAGTCCCAGTGAAGTAGTCTTTTTGATTTTTAAATTCTTACCCTCAATTACCATTTCTCCCCAACCTCCAGTCACAAACCTCAAGATGTGTTCATCTAATTCTCATCCCAATTTTCAAACATGTCCCAGAAGTGATCATACTGTCATTTGCCTCAGCTCCTCACTCAAATTCCATCCTGACACTTCAGTTCCTTTATCTTGCTTCCTTACTTTACGGCACTCCATAAATAATCTGTCCTAATATCTTGGGTGACTAGAAAAATCTTAGAATTGTTAGTTGGGAAGAGGATATTTGACCTGTTGTGTCTGCATTAATGTTCCTACAGAATGCCTATCACATTAAAAGATGCCATATAAATTCTGCTCAAGTGTCTATCGTCTTTAAAAGTAACAGAAGTTAAAATCACAAGTGCTAGTAACACCCATTTTTTAAAAAAGTATCCAATAAAGTTTCTGCATAATTCATTGTAACTTCAGTCAAACTATGAGAAAAAGTGTGATAATTTACCTTTAATTTTGAGTTTGTTTTGGAACTCCTTTTCAAACTCCTCCTTATTAAATTGAGCATTTGCACTTTCAAAATCAAAGTCGCCTTCAAATTTCATTGTTGCTTCTTTATTGTTTCCAGAAAAGTTTTGCCCTCTTCCACGGTTCCTGACTCTTCTGTTGCCTAAAATAGTTATAATTCCTTACAGTAAGATCAGGTGGAAATTTTAAACTCCAGTTGAAAGAAGCAGCATTCCCATATTCCACAAAACAGAAAACTTTTTTTAACTTTGCTAAAAATCGACGTGAATTTTAAAGACTGATTTTAGTCAGTTGTGGCTAGAAATTCTTGGGAATCAGATGCAGGAAACAGTTGAACATGTGGACATATGTAAACTATAGCTAACTGTTTCACAATAGACTTTATGGTCTCGATATCAGTTCAGTATTTTGAAATAGTCATGCAGCACAGAAACAGTCCCTTCAGTCCAACCAATCTGCATCGAACATAATCCCAAACTGAGCTAGTCCCATCTGCCTACTCCAGGTCCATATCCCTCCAAAAACTATTAATGTACTTATCCAAATGTCTTAAACATAATTGTACCCACATTTACCACTTCAAGAAGTTCATTCCACATGTGAACCACACTTAAAGAACTTGGCCCTCATGTCTGTTTTTTTAAAATCTCTCCTCTTACCTTAAAAGTGTGCTCTCTAACTTTGAAATCCCCCATCCTAGGGAAAAGACAATTACCATTAACTCGATCTACACCCCTCATTTTACAAACTTCAATAGGGTCTCCTCTCAACCTCCTACGTGCCAGTCAAAGTCATCCCAGCCTTTCATTATAACTCAAACCTTCCATACCAGGCAACATCCTGGTTAATCTCTCCTGAAACCTCTCCAGCATTATATCCTTTCTAGTACATATTGAAGCTTTTCAGAAAGCAGAGACAAACCATCCATAGCTATAGAATCAAGGTAGTTCCACAAGTAGAAAATCAGGTGTTACATACTAACAGGTGTCAAGACTTCAAATATCAGGAAGATTCTTTTTAGATTTGTAACTAAATCTCAAATGCAAAATGTAATAGGATAACAACCATAGGGGATTTTGACTTCAGTGTTAACTGGGATAGACAGGTTGAAAGGCTTAGAAGGGACACAATTCTTAATGTGCCCTAGAGCTTTTTGTAACCCAGCATGCAGAAAATCCTACGAGGGGGGGTGGTGCTGGACCTAATTTTAGTGAACAAGGCAAGTAGCAGACATGAGGTAAGAGCATTTTGGTAACAATGACAAAATTCAATGATATTTAATATTAGATAAGCACAAAGATGGACCAGAAAGAGGTTAATTTTAACATGATCAGGCCAATATGGCCTGGAAGCAGCTACTTGCAAGAAAATCCTCAGTAATGGGAGTTATTCAAAGAAAATAGAAGTGACAGTGTGGGTCCAACATGTTCCCACAAATGTGAAGGTGAAACCAAGTCCAGAGAAACCTTGATGTCAAGAGATGTACACTGTAAAGAAAAATAATAAACTTTATGGTTGATAGAGGGCTCAAAACAGCAGATACTACAGAAAAATTGAATGCACAGTGGGTTACTTAAAATGATATATGATAAGATCAAGAGGTACATGAGAACACTGGCAGATATTATAAAAGACAATTTTTTTTTAAACCATCAGGGACAAGAAAGCAAGGAAATGTGCGGGGCTTTTGAAGGACCAAAAATGGCAATCTTTGTGGAGGCAGAAAACATAACTGAGGATTTAAATAAGTACTTTACATCTCTATTCACTCTAGGGAAGGACAATGCGGGCAGAGAAAATCAGGGACTATTACATACTTGAAATAAATTTGCTAAGTATGAGAAGGTATTACAGGGTTTTTAGTAGGCTTTAAAATGGATAAATCCCCAAGCATAGGTGAGATATCTCCCAGGCTGTGAGAGGCAAGAGAAAATTGTAAGGCTCTGAAATTTTCATATCCTCTTAGGCCATAAGAGGGGTCCTAAAGTGGATGACAGCTAATGTGGTATAATTCAAGGAGGGTGGTAGGGATAACCTAGGAAATTACACAGGCCAGTGAGTCTATCGATGATATGGTAACTACTGGGGAGAAAAAGCAGAGTTAAATTACCATTAGGAAAAGTAAGGACTAATTAAGGATAGTCAGCAGTTGAAACACTAAATGAACCAAGGGATGAAAAATGGGACTAGAATAAATAGATGCTTGATGACTCAATAGGCTGAAAGGCCTCTTCTTGAGCTGTAAAAACTCTGCCTTTAAGCGTGCCCTCCTAGTATTTTGTCCAAGCTCTTAGATCAACATTAAATTGGTAATAGATTCTCAAACCTGGACAGGACAGGAATTCTCCCTGAAAGCTCCAGTTCAGTCTGGACTGCCCATTTCTATACCCCAGTACAGAAGTGGCCCTATGATGTCTTCACCATAAAAATCTGTTGTTTTTGAAGAAGTGTACAGAACTGCAATTCAAATACTGCAGCAACGCAGCAAGGTCCAGTGGATCACTTACATTTCTCAAGACTCCAAATTAGACAACACCAGAGCTCAAGTCAAAGCTGTCATAGCCCATCAGATGCAAGACTAATTATGCAAACTCAGAACATGGCAACTGCCAGATGATACATTGTGAACTCAAGATAATAATCTATTACAATTCAATTTTTAAAATAAAGTGTCAAGAACTACAAATGGACCGAGGGCAGAACTAAACTTGCATTTCTTTAATCACCCTTGTATCTCAAACAACTTGATTCACACAAAGATAACATGATCTTTGATAGCAATCAATATATGCACCAGACCCACAAACCATCAAATCCTTGGTCCATTCTGGTTTTGGTGCAGTTGATTAATTGAGGAACATTGGCCAATGAGAATTACATTCTTCAGAAAGGGGGGGGGGGGAAAGAGAGGGAAAAGAGGAATGAAGAGAAGACTAAAAGGAGTAAAATATTTGAAGAAATAAATCTACTTAAATTTGAAATTAAATACACACCTATAAATTTGACCTATAAATATTGGAGACAAATCTTAAACTTGCATTTGAATCTACCTGCTACAGTGCAATGTCACTGTGCACCACTTCTCTTCACCTGCACCAGTCTTCTGATCATCCTTCATTTTATGCAGCACTTTACATAGGTGCATTTCTTCTTTCAAGGTTAAAAAAAGACCATATGCCTAGGGTTCTTGCACAGTGGTAGTGATTATAACCTCTGGGCCAGGAAGCCCAAGTTCAAGTCCTACCTGCTCTACAGGTGAGAGATAACATCTGCACAGGTTGATTAGAAAATTTAAAAAACCACAAGTTTTCCCTGTTCTTTGATGGTCTGCATTGCCCTTAACTGGCATGTAAATCAATAGGAAACAGGTGATTTGGTGATGGGGAATAAAGTCATGCAAGATAATATCTCTGGATAAAAGAAATAAGGATCATAAGCTTCAATTATGCTTAGATCACATCCGCACTGGGTCACTTCACATTTTTCATTTCCATTTCTTCGTCTTATTCCTGACTGAGCATTCCCTATTCCCAGCCAATCCCAAGAAAGATGCCCTACATCATTCCTAACCACTAACCCAAATGCAGAATCAACATTTAGACTACTTTGACATCTTTACTTCAATACATACTTATGAAGCTTTCTTCAAAAACACCTTCTCCTGCATCAGCCTCCTAAATTCACCTGACTTTCAAACTGATAAACAATGTCAATTTGTTAGAATTGGGAAATTGATACAATGAAATTGGATTACAGATAAATGTGCACGTTTTAAATGACAACCTGTCTCATGGATGCAGAACAAACTGACTACAATCCTATTTTGAGCATCAAATAATCAATTCACAGGCAATTACTGATTTCATCTTTTCAGGTGTCAGTTTTGCATTTAAGCACTGAATCCACTGCACACTATACAACAGTTGCTACTTTTGAAGAAACCAAATTCTTAAAAACTCATGCTTTAAAAAGAGTCTTGTAAAACCTACAAGCCTGTAGATGAATAGATTACCTGATCTCCTCCTTTGAGGCTGAGGTTTTTTATTTTCATCATTCACTTGAGATTGACTTGGCTGTGGCGTTGGTTGTACAACTGGGAGAAAAAGATAGGAATGGTAGAAATCGTGGACTATGAATTCAGCAACTGGATGATACCACTGCATTGAATGTGTATTAATGCCTGGCTCAAGTTATCAAATGAACAGTGGTAATAGATTTGACTGCTAGCAATTTTACTGCGAACAAGATTTATACATGAAAATTCATGCCTCACATGGCTAATGCGATAGGTCCAAAAACCTTTTACCTTTTCTTTGCTCTGGTCCAACAGACTGCTGATTTATGCTGGCAGGGATTTTGTCCTGTTGCAAGTTCTTCTGATTAAGACCCTCTATAGGACTCGTCTGCACACCTTGTTCTACCATAGGACTTTGCCTTGGTGGCAAAAACGGAAAACCAGTAGCTGCTGAATAGACAAAATTCACTTCAGTGTCTGCAACAGATACAGGGCACAGACTATACGCACTGTAGATGCTGGTTTCATTTAACAAAGCATAACACGGGCAAAAGAAATAACAAATATTACACAGCAGTAATAAATTAAGGGGTTGCCATTGGTTAGTTATTGGAAAAATGATTAATGCATTTAAAGTCTGAAGGCCAATGAATGCATACATTGGGAATCAACTGAATCCTAGAACACCCAAAAAAATTTAGTGCTGCTTTAGTTCAAAAATTCTAAATTTGTCTGAATTTAGCTCAGAAAACATCCTCATTGGTCAAACTAACAATGGGTTAACAGAAAAACTTCTTGCAAAAAAAGTGCTTTATGAATTGATATTGTACATTTTCCTGAAACACCCTATTACATAATTTGTACTATGGGCTAAAAGTACAAATCACTAAGATAAGGGCAAAAAAAATTATTAAAGACCAGCTTTCTCACAACTTACGTCATTAGTCCACTGCAACTGTCCTATTTAACAAGAGTAGTCACTTTACATACTAGTTGGGTCAACACTTTAAACCTTCTCCTATATACAAAGTCATCTTAAGTCCTACTCTCGTATCTTCTTTATCTTCAAGTATGGGAATGTGTTGACTTTGAAATTTGGTACCATTCTTTCAGCTTGTCACTTCACTTGCTTCCCCTAGGTCATTGCATACATTCCAAGAACCCCCCTGCACTAATATCCTTCACTAGTTTCTCCACAAGACTCACCTGCCAAAATTTGACAGAAGTTCCCTCCTGGTCTTCATTTAAACAGTCAACTGTTATGATTCCATGTGACTGTAATACTAGAGAAGCCAGATCCCAGAATGATAGACCATATTTAGTTTTGCAGTCGGTTACTGTGGCGGTTAGTCAAAAAAAAGTCATGAGGTTGCAATGTTCTTAACAGAAGTTTATCACAGAGGCGTAAAACAAGCAAAGCTATATACATACTTCAGTCAGAACCATCCTAAAGTTTCAAATGCTCCCAACAATGCCCAATGCAGAGATTCAATGCCAGAAAAATAACATCCAAAAAGTTTAACTTTGAACTGTACAACTAATTTTACTATTTTTTTCAAGTTTTGCTGGCCTAACCCACAGTTCTAACAATTTGATTTCTATCCCAACCTCTCTGGCTTGGAAACTCCAGAGGCTCAAATACAACTTAAATTGATCGATTCCTCTGAATTGGAAGAAATACCCAAGAGAAAAATCTGCTTGTTAACTAATCTTTGTATCACTCTAAACTGAAGTCAAAACAAAACTAAATGGCTTTGTTCTGTTTACTCTGCCTGTCACAAACTCAAACTAAAGCATCTTCACCATTAACACAAATTCTCGAGCCCAGTTTTCTTGCAAAATTGTGCTAACAAAAGTCCTGAATATGTTGCTTCCCAAATGAGCCCAGCTTCCCTAAGCTCCTATGCCCTATCAGTCTTCAAAATCACAAGTGGCATGCTATGTCACTAGTCAATAAACTATCCTAGTCATCCTTCTTTCTCACTTCACAAATGAATAGAAAAAAAGAATTTCTGGGATGTGAGCGTTGCTGGCTGGCCAGCATTTCTTGCCCATCCTTAGTTGCCCTTAAGATGGTAGCGAGTTGCCTTCTTGAGCCATTGTAGTCCACCTGCTGCAGGTTGGCCCACAATGCCATTAGGGAGGAAATTCCAGGAATTTGACCCAGTGAAGGAATGGTGATATATTTCCAAGTCAGGATGGTGAGTGGCTTGGAGGGGAACTCGCTGGTGGTGGTATTCCCATTTGTCTGCTGCCCTTGTCGTTCCAGATGGAAGCGGTCGTGGGTTTGGAAGGTGCTGTCTGAGGAGCTTTGGTGAATTTCTGCAGTGCATCTTGCAGATGGTACACATTGCTACTGAGTGTAGGAGGAGGGGGGAGTGGACGCTTGTGAATGGAGTGCCAATCAAGCAGGCTGCTTTATCTTGGATGGTGTCAAGCCTCGAGTCTTGTTGGGGCTGCACTCATCCAGGCAAGTGGGGAGTATTCCATCACACTCCTGACTTGTGCCTTGTAGATGGTGAATAGGCTTCGAGAAGTTAGAAGGCGAGTTATTCATTGTAGTATTACTAGCTGCTGTCCTGCTCTTGTAGACACTGTTTATGTGGCAAGTCCAGTGGAGTTTCTGGTCAACGATAACCCCAGGATGTTGATAGTGGGGGAATTCAGTGATGGTAACAACATTGAAAGTCAAGGGATGGTGGTTAGATTGCCTCTTATTGGTGATTGTTATTGCCTGGTATGTGTGACACAAATGTCACTTGCCACTTGTCAGCCCAAGCGTGGGTACGGTTCAGATCTTGTTGCATTTGAACACTGACTGCTTGAGTATCTGAGAAGTCACGAATGGTGCTGAATAATGGGCAATCGTCAGCAAACATGCCCACTTCTGATCTTACGATGGGGGTGGGTGGAGTGGTCATTGATGAAGTAGCTGAAGATGGTTGAGGACACTACCCTGAAGAACTCCTGCAGAGATGTCCTGGAGATGATGGACCTCCAAAAACCACTACCATCTACCTATGCAACAGGTATGACTCCAACTACCGGACAGATTGCCCTGATGTCCATTGCTTCCAATTTTGCTAGGAGCTTCTTGATGCCACACCTCGGGTGAATGCAGCCTTGATAAAAGGGCTGTCACACTCGCCTCACTTCTGAAATTCAGGTCTTTTGTCTACGTTTGAACCAAGGCTGTAATGAGGTCAGGAGCTGAGTGGCCCTGGCAGAATCCAAACTGAACATCACTGAGCATGTGATTGCTGAGCAGGTGCTGATAGCACCATCCATCACTTTACTGATGGAGAGTAGACTGATGGGGCAGTAATTGGGCAGGTTGGATTTGTCCTGCTTTGTATACAGGACATACTTGGGCAATTTTCCACATTGCCAGATAGATACCAGTGTTGTAACTGTACTAGGGCAGCGGCAAGTTCTGGATCACAGGTCTTCAGTACTATTGCCGGAACGTTGTCAGGTCCCGCCGCCTTTGCGGTATCCAGCGTCTCCGACCATTTCTTGATATCACGTGGAGTGAATCAAATTGGCTGAAGACTGGTATCTGTAATGCTGGGGATGACTGGAGGAGGCTAAAGACGGATCATCCGCTCGGCCCTTCTGGCTGAAGATTGCAGAAGAAAAGGCTGAAGCACTCGCAGCACTGATGTGTTGGGCTCTTCCATCAGTAAGGATGGGGATATTTGAGGAGCCTCCTCCTCCAGTGAATTGTTTAATTGTCCACCACCATTCATGACTGAATGTGGCAGGACTGCAGAGCTTAGATCTGATCCATTGGTTGGGGGATCACTTAGCTCTATCACTTGCTGCTTTCACTATTTGGCATGCAAATAGTCTTGTTTGGTGGCTTCACCAGGTTGATACCTCATCTTCAGGATGATTGGTGCTGCTCCTGGCATGCTCTCCTGCACTCATTAGGCTGATCCCCTGGCTTGATGGTAATGGTTGAGTGGGGGATACACTGAACCATGAGGTTACAGATTGTGGAGTACAATTCTGCTGTTGATGGTCCACAGCACCTCCTGGATGCCCAGTGTGGAGCTGCTAGACCCGTGTGAAGTCTGTCCCATTTAGCATGGTGATAGTGCCACACAATACAATCAAAGTTATTCTTAATGTGAAGGTGGGTCTTTGTCTGCACAAGGACTATGCGATGGTCACTCTTACCAACAGTCATGGATAGATGCAGCTCCAGCTGGCAGAATAGTAAGGATGAAGTCAAGTATGTTTTTCCCTCGTTGGTTCCGTCACTGCCTGCCGCAGACCCAGTCTAGCAGTTACGTCCTTTAGGACCAAACCAGCTCGATCAGTAGTACTGCTACTGAGCCACTCTTGATGGTGGATGTTGAAAACCCTCACCCGGAGTACATTTTGTGCCCTTGCCATCCTCAGTGCTTCCTCTAAGCATTGCTCAACATTAAGAAGTACTGATTCATTAGCTGAGGGAAGACAGTACATGTTAATCAGCAGGTGGTTTCCTTGCCCATGTTTAACCTGAAGCCATGAGACCTCATGGGGTCCGGAGTCAATGTTGAGGACTCCTGGAGCAACACCCTCCTGACTGTATACCACTGTGCTGCCACATCTGTCCTGCCAGTGGGACAGGACATATCCAGGGATGGTGATGGTGGTGTCTGGGACATTGTTGGCAAGGTATGATTCTGAGAGTATGACTGTCAGGCTGTTGCTTAACTAGTCTGAGAGACAGCTCTCCCAGTTTTGGCACTAATCCCCAGATGATAGCGAGGAGGACATTGCAGGGTCGACAGGGCTGTTTCTGTTGGTGTCTTTTCCGGTGCCTAGGTTGATGCCAGGTGATCCGCTTGGTTTCATTTCTTTGAAACTTTGTACCAATTGCTACAACTGAGTGGCTTGCTAGACCATTTGAGTGCAATTGAGAGTCAACCATATTGCTGTGGGTCTGGAGTCACATGTAGGCCAGACCAGGTGAGGATGTCAGATTTCCTTCCCTGAAAAAAATCAGTGAACCAGATGGGTTTTTTTTCAACAATTGACAATGATTTCATGGTGATCAGTAGATTTTTAATTCCAGACTTTAGAAATTTATTTCAAACTCTACCATCTGCTGTGGTGGGATTCGAACCCCATCCCCAGGACATTAGCTGGGTTTCTAGATTAAGAGTCTAGCAATAATACCAGTAGGCCATCACCAACCCAAATAACTATACTAACAGGATGGAAAATTGAGTCTAGTTCCATTTTTACTTCCCTGGTTACAACATGGACTGTCTTCCCCTTTAGTCACCCTACCTCTCACCCAAAAAAATGCATTTGAAAGATTAAATGGCTTCAAAATGTTAATGTTCTTTTGAGCAAAGTTACACTCATCTTGTAAGGAGTTTTGGAATCACATTTATGCAGAATGATGCATTATTTTTACATTTTGCAACAAAAAGAGATGCATCTTCTCATATTACAGCTGTAACACTTTCAAGCATGCACATATTGCTTTAGTCCCAAGAGTCTGGGTTCCATCAAGGGTTTGACAATTAATAAAAAAAATGTCCAATACTCCAACTTGTAGCTACATAGGCATAAGTTTTGGTCACGTTACTTTTATGCCAATTAAACAATGCTACAGTATGTCATATAATAGATGTCCAGAATTGCATAGCAATTTATAATACAGAACTATTTTGTTGATATCCTACAAATTCTTCATGTCCCAATTTAAACTGTAAAAGTAGATTTAGATTTCTAGATACTTAGAAATCTAGGGCAAATCTAGATATTGAACCACTCAGCAGTTTGCTTCTCCCGGACAGAAAGGAACTTTCCTCCTATGCAAGGCTATTCCAAATAGCCATTGTTTGACCCAGTGGTCAGTTTCTGTAAAAATGAAGCAATCCACACTATTTAAAGCCAGATTTGGGTAACTTTAGTTGGACTAATAAAGTAACTGGTGTAATACACAAGTGTTAAATTATCTCCAGTTTAAAAAACAATCTTAGCCACTTTCCCCCATCACTAATAAATGCATTCTTGGCAGCATTGCCCACTTCCAATTGAGAAACAAAAACAAAAAACAAACAAAAAAAAAGTCAGCTCGGCCGTTTGGCCCTTCCAGCCTGCTTGGCCTGATCATCCTATTTAGTGTTCTGTTCCTTTCTCCGTATACCATAGGAGAAATCTAGTCCCAAGAACTAGAACTCCTTCTTGAAAGCATTCATGTTTTGACCTCAAACATGTTCTATGGCAGAGAATCCCCCAGATTCACCACACTCTGGGTGAAGAGATTTTTCCTCAGCTCAGTCCTTCATGGCTCACCCCATATCCTTAAACTGTGACCCCCTGGTTTTAAACTACCTGGTCATCATAATATCCTTCTGAAACAGATTCTGATTGTAAACAGGGCATGAACTATTGGGGCCAGCATTAACCTTGTTGTCTTGTACAGGTAGACAGATTGATGACCTCTCCAGGGATATTTGACAATAAATAGGAGGGGGGTTCAAAAATACCTGTCTGCATTTTATATTCTTTTAGAACGCAGCTACATTTGTATTTATCACCAAATCAAGGCCACAGCAGTGTCACTTTTAAAGAAGCATTAATCAGAATTCACCATCACCTCAGTTAAAGTTTATCAAATTACAGAAAATAGCCACAGCTTTCAAAGGTAAATAGCTATAAAATTGTTTGATTAGCACTATAAATTAGTGTAGGTTTCATTTTAAAATGCTTGTAAAATCCTTTACAAGCAAGATTAATTTGTGGATGGAATGGGAAGACCACCATTTTAGAATCAGATTGGTTTCTGACCACAATTGGTCAAAGAAACTCCAAAGTGACCTCTCAATATTTATCCATAGCCAGGACATAGAAATTAGAATAAGCCAGCCTAAAAATGAAATTAGAGTAAAAAATAAAAACACCAAAAAAGCCTCTCACTTCAAAAATATTTTGGCCATCAAGTATAAAACAAATTGGAGTACAACAGGGGAGGCCAATGCTGGAAGTGCTTAGTGAAGGGCAAATGCCAAGCAACAGCTGAGTGACAGGCCTCTAACTTTGTAGAGGGATTAAGAATGATCTGAGCAAACCTTAGGTCTTGCTGCATTTTTCCCTCTACACCAAAGTCTTACATCATTTGAAAATGAGCATGGGGCGGTGAAGACAGTAGCACTGCGTGTGGCTGGAATTGGCGACAGAGAGCAGCCTCTTAACAGAGAATCCTGGATAAATCTGCTTAAAGCAGAATGAAAGTGCTCAGATGAGTAGCGGACTGGTCCAGCTCACCAATGCTGATAATCAACGATGCAGCTTTCAATTGTTCAGTTGCAGCTGGGTAACAAAGGGACAGGAGCTCATACATAACTCGAGCACCAAATAAATCTGCAGTTGAAGCATAAAAGGTCACTCTTCAATGGCAATGGTCAGATTAATGCAGGCACGCATTACTAGATGTCATGGGCTGTAACTGATTTCCATATTCATAGCTAGGTGCTATTAGGTCCCACACACAGGAATAATTTTTCCCTATAGCAACCACCATTGATATTAAGTTTAATATAATTGGCATAAGGGACTGTCAAAGGATAATGGTATTAGTGAGTGCTGCCAGCAAAATGTGAAACTTGTAATATGTGATTTAATAGTCACATGAGCTGGGCATTGCAAGTGGAAGCTTCAAAAATCTAGCTTGCTGTCTGGTTGGTCCTTTGACAACTTTGTGGGTATAATCACAAACTGTGAACCTGAGGAAAGCCTCCCGTCACACGGACCTAAAGATTGATAGCAGTCACCCGACCTCCCAAAGAAAAGGGCATGTTCCATTTGCCTTATGGCGCGAGTTGTGAAATGAGATCTCCCAGGTTTGCTCTTGTTCCCTGGAACAAGAGATACATACATGTTCAGCACCAGTAACCTGGAGCTGGAAAGCGTATTGGAAAGCCTCACGTCATGGTGTAGGGCACAATAAGATTAACCATTAAGATAGATCCATCATCAACAGCACCATTGCTGTTATTTCCAGGTAATAAACTCTTGGACAGCAACACCTGGTGTCTTTGATAGTATTTCTTTTCACTTGCAGTGCCACTCTGCATTTGACAGCCTCCCAACCTAGAGTTTAATGTTACCCTCTAAAAATATCAGGGGAGGCTGCTCTCATCCAAACAACTTTACCTATTAATTAGTTTGAGATCTTCAAGTCACTTGATACACAAATGATGCAAGCAGGTTCATGCACCTCAAAGCTCCAAACAAATCCCCTCAAAAAAACAAACAACCAAACCCTCAGATCTGGCATTGTAATTTCTATGCTACTGCATTGAAAAAACTGAATTGCATTCTCCAATTAAACAACATTTTCACATTACATTGAAGAGTACAAATAGGTCTCTAACTGTGTTCACAACACAGCCAAGCTCAACAAATCTGACATATCGTTTCTCCTTCTTCCGGTTTCAAAATTGCTAACTGGTTTTCAAGCTTAACAATACACTCAACTAATGAAATTGAGTTGTGCCAGTTACCAGCTCCCTGCCATCCTTAACCTAAAATGGTATCCAGAGGCATCAAGAATCAGGTGACATGTTCAGAGTGCAGAATTTCTCAAGTCCATATACACCTGACTTCACACTGTACATGTACTAATACTGGGACTGGATTTTCAGTCAAGGCAGCAAAGGTGAAATAATAGCTGTACCGTGAGCAAATTAAATGCAGATAGAAACTACATTGTGAACCTTTTGTCTCCCCTTATTCCAATTCCACTTGTGCACTGACATTCTATTTAATACCACTAAAAAACACTGAATGGGCTAAATTACATGGCACAGTATTGTGCCAGTTTCACCTACTATTGAATAATTAGGACAAAGTGCTCTACAATTAATTCATTTGAACTGGAGATACATACACATGCTGAAGACAATGCTAATACAGATCATAAGGCAGTAGCATAAGTGTGGAGCTGGAGGAACACAGCAGGCCATCAGAAATGAAGGGTTCCGACCCAAAACGTTAGCTTTCCTGCTCCTCTGATGCTGCCTGGCCTGCTGTGTTCCTCCAGCTCCATACTTATCTGACTCCAGCATCAGCAGTTCTTATTATCTCTCCCTGAATCTAACCTTCATAACTAGCCTGCCACGTATGTCACTTTCACACCACCACCACCCCAGCGACTAAGGGAGCTTGAGCAGATACTCATGGCAAACCCTAATTCTTCACATTGAAGCCACTGTTGATATTCCATAAATCACCATTCAGATATCTAGAACCCAGAGTATTGTCACTATTATTGAAATCATTTAGTTTCTGAAGGAATATACATACAAAAGAAATACATTATCAAAATTCTAGAAACTTTCCAATGGAAATTTGCAACCGAGTGGTTACTGGAGGGCTCAACCTTGCTTCACATTAAAATACAGGATATCTTAAAAAGTCAACTCAAAAGCTAATGCTAGTAAACTATATTGGAGCTTCGACCAAAACAAGATGAGCAACCAAATGGCCTATGTTGCTATTTGCACTAGTCTGCTTCCACTAATTACTATTTCCTTCGTAATGGAATCTATAGTACAGCAAGGAGATTACAAGTAATGTTGCTAGCAAGATGGCACACCATACATGCCTAATCCAAAGCAACTAATTCAATAAAATGTTTTACAAAAAAGGAATTTCAAGTAGCTTTGATTACAATAAATGGCAGCTTCAAATAAAATGTTCAGAATTTCAAATTACTAAAAATTTCTAAGAAATCATTTGTCCATATTCACCACTTATAAGCTTGCCAGTTAAATGTTAATGTTGGTTTATAAAAAGAGGCAGAAATTCACGAAGCAAACTAAAGACATTAGCAACAAGGTTCCAAAACAGTAGAAACAAGGCAAGCAAATCAACGTTAACAAAACTGAATCTTCATTTAACAATTTTCCTTGGAAGGTTTGCACATTTGGATGCATAAAATCATATCATGCTGCTGTCAATTTAGGTGCAACTCAGAATGAGTAGGATCCGTTTGAACTGCTGTTTTGGAATTCTGCAAGTATGATCATAAGCAGGTTTCATCATGGCATGGCTCAAAAGATGGCGAGTTAAAATAAAAGTTGCTTCAACAATAAAACTCCAAACCAGCACATGCTGTACATAGACATTTTAAACTAAGACAGGTTGACAACTGCTTAGCATTGAAGTAACAGATAAACAACCTAAGCACACTACAGTCAGACGTTACCCTGAGGAATCAGTTGGCTTTTCTGCAAGGGTGCTGGATCAGGTGGTATTTCAAGCTCTGTAAAGGCTGGTTGTGGTGAGGGAGGACTATCAGTACTGGAGGAGTGAGAAACAGTTGTGATTTGGGTGGGTGTTGAACATCCTGTTAAAGTTCAGGAAGGAAAAAAAAGGGAACCAGAAGATCAATGCTGCCAAATTTTAATATTAAAGTTATTATGTATCCTCAAATTCTACAGAGACAATTTACAATAACCTCATATGCATCTAGCATCAAAACCTGTAGAAAACTTTTCAGAATAACCAATTATACACCACTTGGTGAAAATGCAAGGGCAAAATCAGAGTAGTGCAAGTATGCAATTAGCAAAAAAGTCAGAATCATGTGTTGATAGTTGAAGAACATCCAGGCAAGAACATTTAACTATTACTTGAAGTAAAAAAGTCAAGAATACAATGCAGTCCTCCCAAAGAGTTGGAGGTTTCCCAGATAATGAAGTATTTTTCCAAATTACTTAAGTCATGCTTGCTGTCCTATTACAAAGTGAATCCCAATTCTCACCTAAACTGGATGCACTATTATTGCACAGAATGAAGCTTGAATGCACTTGCACTACTCCAGCTTGTTAGTTTTACAATAAATATTTTCATAGCATATCAATTGTTAACCTCAATGGTCTCTACAAATCCAATCTCAGATTACATCAAGTCAAAAAATCTATAGATACAGACAAATGGTTAAGTTGAAACTAACCAGAACTTTTTAGTCTTAGGATTAAAAGGGGTCTGGCTTCAAGGCTCAATAAATACTAAACTAAATTGGTAAACTGAATTACTCAAAGTAGTTAAACAAGTTTAGTAATGAAAAATCCTACCTCAACATATTTGATATTACCTAATATTCACTCCCAGAATTTGACAGTTGCACTAACTGAATTGTAAAAAAGGATTAAGCTATTTACAATTTTGTGCACAATGTTTTCAACATGTATGAAGGTACAATGATAAACTTAACAATTGAAGGCTTTTACAGATTGACACTGAGATGTTAAGGGACATCCTTAATATTAAAGGAATTAAAGTCAGACATAAGTATTTCAGAAAGCAAAATTAAAGGCTTGAGCAACTCCACTGGTAACAATTTGAAGAGGTTGTGTATGTTCCAGTGGTTAGTACCAAGTGGTCACTTAAAAATTACAGCTGTAAATTCAAATTAATCACTGACAGGGGATGAATCTTATTTTATTGGAAATTAAAAGTTTGGTCAGAAAGTTGGTTTGCTACATCTAAATTTTAAAATCTAAGACTTGTCAAACATTCAAAAGTTTTAATTACTAGTTATTTGCTAGTTCAAGAATGTAAAATCTGTCAGGCTATTATTTATTGATACTTCCAATAATTCTGCTCAAAAATTGTTAACTTCATCATAATCTAAACAAAAAGTGCAATTCAATGTAAAACCGTTAATTCATCAGATGTATTGCTCAGCAAATAAAGAAAGCACACAAACCTAGACCCACAGAGCTGCCATACTGCTGTCCAACCAGAGATCCTCCTCCAGCAAACTGGTTATATGGAGTCATACTACGGAATGGACTGTATGACGTTGGAGGCTGAAATGAAGTGTTTGACGAAGCACTCAACGAAGACTAGAAGGAAGATGCTGTTGTTACTGAGACTGTTACAGGTACAGACAATATAATCGCTTTTCCCTACAATTAAGTGTAAAACTTAATTACACGCTTTCACATGAAAAAAGACATTGGCAAAACAATAAAGACTTGAATGGGCACAATCTTTATCCCATCAAAAAGGAATTGCCGTCTACATTTTTGAAGTAAAACCATGAGTAGCTAAGAGTTCAGTGTAGCATATTGGTGTCAGTAGTTTGATTTACTTTTACATCCAAAGGCCGTGTATAAATGTCTAAGTCTGGCCAATGTCTTCACAAAACAAAATTCTTGTAAAGAATGGTACTTCACACACTGGAAACAAGACAGCTAAACTGGATTTTTACAGGTTTAACTAAGAAAGTTAAGTTGCAGAGTTACATCAATGCCCATGGACACTGGCCCAAGGTATCAGTGGATGAATGTGAAAAAAGTCTTTAGGTTCCACTTCAAGAAATGAATGTCTACCTACCTTAAAGAGATGGAACATTTCCATAACAAAGCTAAATAAGATGAGTAAATAGATTTTTTTTTTTGAAAAAAGTGGTAGATATCAATCCATCTAAACAAATTTTCACAGTTTACTGACATCTAGCAACTGGAATGAAGCTGACAGTTGTACCAAAAATGCTTGATATCTTAGTATTGAATAATTTCAGTAATTCACCTGTACTATTGCAGGATCTTGGGGTTGTGGTTTGGGAGGTTCGCAGACAGTAATATCTTTGATATCACTGCCACGGAAGATGATATATTCATAGATTTCATCTCTTGGGGCGACAGGTCTGTCTGTGGGGCGGTCTTCTGTTCCGAATGATCGCACTACCAAAGCAAAGGTGAAATGTCTTAATTCAGATCTAACCCAACAAAATTTCGTGGTTTCATAAATACCAGTTAAAGCTTGAAGCTATCTTGAAATCAAGATGAAAATGATAATTCCTATTAAAAAGTGACAACTGCAGTCATTTTTCAAGATCCAAATGTCTTTCTACAACAAGAAACTAACATCTGGCTACAATCAGAAGATTGAGATCCTTTCATTTGCCATAGCGATCAGCATTTGGAATTAAAAAAGGTTAAAATATACATAATTCAGTGGTTAAAACTACATTCCACAAGCGTAACGGTATTTTTAAGTCCGTGTATGATGTCACAATGCTTTTCTGCAAGTGAGTTCACAGCCAGAAACTGACCACATGCCTCCAATTCCGAAGATAATAGTAATGTGTTTAATGGCTCAGAGCTTGCAGTGACAGAGCAAAAACTTTCTTTTGAGGGCAGTGGTAAGCACTAATCTAATGATTTGTGACAAGAACATTTACTCAACATGTTAGGAGAAGGGGAACTAACCCCACTAATTTGAAAAGCAACGAGACTGCATGGTCAGGATTTCAGCATTAAACTGCATATCTTTCAAATCCTACAGCTGTGATCAGTTTCATATCACTTATGACAGAGAATGTTTCACCATCAAGCCAATCCCAATCTCTGTCCTTTTAGCTCAGTCACACTGCCTTGTAGAATTGCCGAGTACAGTCCAGTACATTGATTCCTTACCATCTTTATGATCAAGTCAGAACCATGTCATTTACAGGTCTTTGAGCAGAATCAAAGTCATACTGCAAGGAAACAGATCCTTCAGTCCAGCTTGTCCATGCCGACCAGACATCCCAATCTGACCTAGTGTCACTTCCCAGCATTTGGCCTAAATTCCTTTAAACTCAAACCATTCATGGAGTTTGATGCATCTAACCTTTAAGTGAGTGACATGCATCTATTACATAATGGCACACTGCCTCATTGGCATCAAATACTACACCTAATCATTTCCTTTTAAATAGCCAGAAGTACTACCACACAACTGAGCAACTTTCCCACTAAAATCACCATGACAATTTTTCCTTCCTTTAAAAACCAACTACCACTATTAATTACCAAATATTGGCAAGCAAAGTCCATACAGGCAAGGCAAACCATCAGAATTGAGGGGGAGGTAAGGAGATGGCGAATAGGTTAAATCAAAATGGAGTCACTTGCTTCTTGGGCCTTCAAGAAACAATATCAAATTGAGTTTACAAAACAATTAACAATTATCTTCAATATTGAGCACAATGCATAATGTTGACCAAGAGCATAGTTCTTTAAATGAGGGATCAGACCTTGTCTCACATCCATTCTAAGCAACCACCAGTTTCACTTGAGACAGCCATCCTCAAGTTTTTTCTGGCCACATTTCTTTCCTGTTGCAAATAAATCCACAATATAACAGTATTCCCTTGAATAGATTCTCTGATCTAGTACATTCTTGACAGGTCTACAAAGATTCCATGATTCCACATAACAAGAATTAGTTAAACTTAAAACATATATTCAAATTACTTTTCAGAAGGGGTAATGAAAGCCATTCCTAAAAAGTAACCTGTTTAAAAGGTTCTGAATTTCAAAACATCCATTCAATGAGGAACAAAAACAAAGTTGCTGAAAAAGCTCAGCAGGTCTGGCAGCATCTGTGAAGAAAAAAATCAGTTAACGTTTTGGGTCCAGTGACCCTTCCCTCAGAAACTCAATGAGTTTCAGGTGCAAAGATTAGTCAGTCAATCAGTAAAACTAGCTAGTTAGTAAGATAACTGAATCAGGGAATAATGTCAAATTACCTCAGATTAAGCAAAAGTGAAATAGTCTATACATAAATAGTACATTCTCATTAGGAGAGAATCAACCCAAATCACAGACAGCAATGAGATAGCTTAGCATTCCATAGGATTCAAATTGGGAAGCATTACTATTGCAGGGCAAAAACATTTCAAAAAGCAAATTGTTACTGGTAGATCAGCAACAATACGATGTCAATTGTTTTGATTTCTGCAACATAAACAACATGTACAGTTATACAGTTGCAGTTTTAAAGGTAAAAGTCTGCAGACCATGCAGCACTTACCAGACAAAGGCAAAGCAATCACACTTGAGCAGAAAGGCCCATCTATTTTGGGTAGAGCTAGTCAAAATTTAATAAAGTTAAACGTTTCAAAACTAACCCTGGCAGCTTGTGAAAAGGAATGATCTGAAAGAGTAATACAGATGAGCCACGTTTGCGGTACACTTGGGTTAATCAAACCTCAACTGTCTTAAAGCTCTAATACAATTGTTATATTAATTATAAGCTGACATTACACAAATCTATTTTTCAAAAAAGATTACTCTTACATCTATAAGTCATGAATGATACCCCTAATTCACCAAGATGCCATGTTACTGCTGCTTGGGGAATGGAGAGGAAAAGGAATCCGCAAGACCCAGGTAGGAACAGACTTTCTCCCTGTTTTGGTAACTTCATTCAGATAACTGTCTTCACTTTAATTGACCATTTAAAAACCCAACATGGAATGAACCAGCATGAAATCTAGTTCTGGGGAATGATCTGTAGCAGGTGCAACATGTTGCAGAAAGAACATCTAGGAAAGCAGTGCTCACATTTGGTTTAGAATAGTTATGAAAAAGATAAGGAATAAATCAAGAAGTTAACTGGAAACAAAATTTCAAAAACAGGTGAGCAATGGGAGGCCTTAAGTAAAAACAAGCACAATGAGAAGGACAAAAATGCAAAGCTGTAGCTCCCTAAATAATTGATGAAAACGACGTTAAAAACACAATGCTTAGTGGTCAACAAGTTCATACAGGAAAAAGTCGTGTAGAACACAATATGCAGTTGAGAATTAGAAATTAAAGGGTAAAAAGCGAAGAAAAATTAGGGAAAACTTTGTCAAAACGAGGGGAAAGCTAAACGTCAAGGGAAATGTTGAAGGGAGAGGGCATAGTTAGGGTAATGAGTGAAAACGCTGCATCTGTCTTTAGTGGATAACATTGGACAGAAGAGATTGAGGATGTTGCCTGTAGCACAATTAGAAAAAAGTCAGCTGGTTCCAATGCAGATTTAGAATGAATATTACCGTAAGTTAATACTGTAATTATTTTGGACATCGCCACTTGATCGAGCACTAACTTATATTCCAGGCCTCTCGGGGGGTGGGGGAGAGGAGAAAGAAGAGTATCGGAGCTACAAACATATTCTACGTACTATCATAACAGTTTGGGATATTTTAAAAGCAATGAATGCCCCTTCCGACTTCGTCGACCACCAACCCGTGATTTCTCACACGGACAGTAGGGGTGGGTGGTCACTTGATTTCGACCCATTTACTGCATGTAAAACCCTCAAATAATGCAAACTCCCATAAACAAGTCTACGTATCTCTGCAGAAGAACTGGAAATGATACGAATTCAACAATTCATCCGTGCCGTGGAGAAAGGAGCAAAAAAGTAAATTCTGAAAACAAGTGGACTCTCCCCTCCCCCAAACACCAAGTGCAGGGGGATCCAAACAGGCTTGGGAGCCTAAAACATCTACCCAACTGACGGGTGGCAAAAATAGGACAAAAGGCGCCATCGGTAATTGGACAGACGGGCAAAACAAATAAGGCCATGTTCTTCCGACCGGGTATAAGGTTGGGAGATAAATATGCCTCAAGGGTGAGTGAGGCCCCACACCCACACCCACGCCTCCCAGTGGCACAATAGGAAGGCGCCAGAAGCCCGCACTCACCCTTGGCCAGGGCCACCGTGGAGTTGTCCGTGTCGATGGTATACAAGATGCCCTCGTAGCGGATCTGCGCCTTAGAGATAAGGCTGATCTTGCTGCCGATGTACGGCGTCCCGCCGCTCATGGTGACGGCCAAAACCGGTCGATTTCCCCCTTTTTTTTAAAACCCTCCCGCCCTGCAGCCAATGCAAAATCGCTTCCTTTTTTTTCCCCCCCAAAACACCACCCTGCCTCAATAACTCACTCACACTCTCTTTACCCGCAACTGCACAACACCAGAATCCCACCTCCCTCCCACCCCGCCTGGCGGCGCTTAAATAAGGCGTCACTGTCACTGCGACCGCCTTCCAATCCCTCTCCCGGGACTATGGGACCGTCCCGCCAACTCCAGCGGCACCTGCAGGTCGGCGGTCTGCCATTGCACCCACATGTTCTGCCCAAGTCCGGGCAGGTGACAGGTACTTGTCACATTCAGTAGACATATGTTTACCCTCTCTATAATGGTGAGTCTAACGGTCTCGTGGTGTAGAGGTAGTGTCGCTAAATGTAAAGTCGCCATAGTTACCAGACCACAGGGCTGCTCTCTCATCAGAGAGACAACTGGTGGTGGTTTAACCTAAGGATCACCACGCCTCAGGTGAGGGGAGAAGTTGAGAATGAGAGTCCTTCACGGTAAATCTCAACAAGTGCGGGTATTGAACCCACGCCGTCGGCCCCTATCTCAGCAACAAAAAAAGATCTGGGTCCAAGTTTCGCATGTCCCAGAGGTGTGTCATATCATGTCTGAACAGTTTGATTAAGAATAATTATACTGGTGAGCATGGATCTTTCGAGCCTATACCAACAATTCTCCTTCAAAGTGACACTGCATATATTGACGTTATTTTTGAATCCACTGTTAGAGGTGAGAGGACTGTTTAATTGCATTAAAAGAGCCTTTTGATGCTTATATTTATATACCAGATATCAGTTAGAAGCACAAAATCAGCTTATGCATTAATTCCTCAGCCCTTTTCCCTCCCAATCTTGTTAGCAATCTTGTTAAATTACTGAGCAGTCCCTCTTCACAATGAAAATGTGCTTGCTCCAAAAAACAGGCATTATGAAACAGTTTTTGAGAATAATATGTCTATTACTATGATCAGAATTTAATTCATAATATTTCTAATGTTCCCAGTTCCATTTTTAATTCTGATGATCAGCAATGTATAAACCAAGCTTCCACAAAAGCAAAATACTGGGAATGCTGGGAATACTGACTGCATCTGTGAACTTTGGAGAAAAAAAGTATTTATGTTTTATGTTGGTTACTATTCATTAGTAGTGGAAGTTTAGAGATGTTACAGAGTAAAGCATGTGTGGATGTGGGTAAGGGGTAAAGGAATAACAACAAAAAGGGAATCTGTGGTTGGCCACAAAACAGAAGCGATTAAATGCCAATTAGATAGCATCTATGGCAAAAAGGAAACAGTGTGTAATTATGACTTTTAACTTCCAATTGCCTGTCACTTTAATTTTCCACTCCACAAGAGGTGCTGTTCCTAAAACCTACGATGAGTTTCATTGAAATGGTGTGGAAAGCTGAAGACATAAATGTCAGAGTGGAGTGGGGTATGAAAATGATTGGCATTCGGTAGCTCAAAGTCCTACTTTGTGCAATGTTTCCTTTTTGCCATTTTTTTATACATTCATTCCCATCAGAATTGTCTGAAAGCTCTCTATTCCCTCCATTAATGAAGTGTCCATCCTGTCTCACCTTCCTCTGCTTGGATGAACTTGTTCTTATATCGATCAAATTCACCTTTAATTGCACTCACTTCCTCTGAATAAAAAGGACAATATCAACTACAGGCTTACCTGACTTTTTGTGTGAACATTCTCATCTTCAGTCCTAATCAAGTTCTTCCGTTGTATCTTTTTCTGGCACATCAATGACTGTATTAGATACTGTTCCCTGCTCTGTCCCTGAACTAGAAAATTTCAATAACATTACTTTAGATTTCCACTATTCCAGCACCTTCAAATGATCGTCTCTTAATTCTTCTCTTCCTTCCCTGTACTTCACTGTCCCAGGATTGGTTGTTGACTAATATTCAATACAGATCCACTGACATCCATAGCCTCCACTTCCTCACACCTTGGTTTCTTAATTACCCTATTTAATTCTCAAAGAATCTCCACTTGTTCCGATTAACATCCTTTTGTAGCAGCTATTCTGGTATATCTTCCTTTCTCCGATTTGTTTCCTCCCCTCACCCCACCCCTCAGTTCCTTAATGTGGTTGAGACCATGTCCATTGCATTTCCAGTCATTCTGCTATGACCACTTTCCTAGTCCCCTCTGAATCCCAGAATCATGATAAAGATCCTCTTTTTTCTCAGTTTCCAACTCAACAGACTCCATATTCAATTTTTCATGCTGTTTTTTTCCACTATCTTCACCATGACAACATCAAACACATTTTCCCCTCCCTTTACCTTTCAGAAGTCTGGAGGGACTTTTTAAAACTTTTTCATGGGATGTGGGCATCTCTGGTTGGGCTGGTAATTGTTGCCCATCCCAAGTTACATTTATAGGGGTGTTGGTGAGCTGCCTTCTTGAACTGCTGTCCATTTATGCCTTGCAGATGGTGGACAAGCTTTGAGGAGTCAGGAAGTGAGTTACATGCTCCAGGATTCCTAGCTTCTGACTTGCTCTTGTAGCGACAGTACCTATTTGGCAAATCTAATTCAGATTCTGGTCAATGGCGGCCCTCAAGATGTTGAAAGTGTGCAATTCAGTGATGGTAAGACCATTGAATGTCAAGGGGCAATGATTAAATCCTCTCTTGTTGGAGATGGTGATTGCCTGGCACTTGTGTCTCACAAATATTACTTGCCATTGTCAGCCCCAACCTGGATACTGCCCAGGTCTTGCTGCATTTGGACATGGATTGCTTCAGTATCTGCGGAGTCACAAATGGTGTTGGTCATTGTGCACTCATCAGTAAACATCCCCATTTTTGACTTTATGATGCAGGGAAGGGTTATTGATAAAGCAGCAGATGATGTTTGGCCAAGGACATAATTCTGAAGAACTCTAGATACCTTAGAGCTGAAATGACTGACCTCCAAAAACCACAACCATCTTTCCATGTGCCAGGTATGACTCCAACAAATGGAAAATTTCCATGATTCTCATTGACACCAATTTTGCTGGGATTCCTTGATGCCATACTCAGTCAAATATAACCTTGAGATCAAGGGCTGTCACTCTCACCTTACCTCTTGAATTCAGCTTGTTGCAAAGTTGGGTAGAGTACTTGTGGATTGGGAGGCAGGAATTTGGTGTTTGTAAAATGCTGGGGGGCGGGGTGGGGGAGGAAAGCATTACATGGTCCTTTTAAAAGATCATGCGCTTTTTCTGTGTATAGTGACGTAAAACGAATGTCTGTGAGCAGCAGCTTCAAAGTTTACAAGTACATAGCAAGCACCCAAATTGAAACATTTGTATCGAAAGGCAATACAGTTAGCAGGCCAAGCAGCAGCATTTTTGGACCAAGACAACAGGCTTTTGAGTTTAGTCAATTGATTTGAACCGGGTGCTTAGATACCAAAAACCAGCAAATGTAAATTTGATGGTTTTGACAACTTAGAACCAATCCTATTGTAATAAATATTGATATGTCATCAAGGGTATAAAAGAAGGAGACAGTTGGACAAAGATCCCAGAACTAACAGCCGTCATCTCTCAAGATAGAATCGCTGGCTCTCACAGCCTCTTCTATGTCTTAGAGAAAGCACCATCTGAATAGCAATAGTACCAGCGGCACAACTAGTTCTGACCAAACAATCGACGGAGAAGGCATTCCCAACAGTGGAATCAATGGAGAAGGCACAGAACATTCTAGAAGACACATAACCTGGTTGTAATTTCAAGAGATTAAGTTTTTTTATATGTATATGTGGGATTTGTATTTATTGGAACAACATAGCATTAGAATCTTGCTTTATTCAGGACTAGTTAGTAGTGAGAAGGGATTTATTCAGTTTGTTAATAGTTTAGTTAATTTGTTCACTTAGAGTTGGATAAATAAATTGTTACTTGTTGATTTTAAATTGAGTGTCAGAGATTTATTTTATTTAACTACTAAAGTTGCTGAAAAGCAGATTACACCACTTTTCACACTCCTTTTACAGATTATAGGGCAAGGCACTCCTCTTTGGGTGTTACAGTTTTAGTTCTTGACGGCGGGGGGGGGGGGGGGGGGGGGG